GATACCATATTCAAAGATAAAGATAAAAAGTAAGGAAAACAGTGCAACATCCGACACTTTCGCTTTTCCAAATAGTAGCTCTGTAAACATGACAAACAGAATCAAGTATCTCTAATAAGACCCTCAATACAAGCACCGCCTTCAGAAGATCGGTTGCAACAACTGATGTGACGAGGCTTAAGACACGAGGTCGGGCTTCATTGGCTGCCGCCGAAGCAGGAAAATGAACCACAAAGTCGTGAACAACATCACCACGACCAACAGACATAAACCAGCCCCAAAAAAATCGTTGTTACAGAAGCAACTCGCCGTCGTTTCCAACTCAACAACAACGACAGCGACAAAGATAAAAGAGTCACTGGAATTCACAGAGCACTTGATCAATCCGTATAGACAACTTGCTACAAAAGAGTTCGTGGTTACCGAAACAACTCAACATTTTTTCCAACACATCAACAAGAAAAGACCCATTGGATATCACAGGCTCTTGAACACTCGTTAAGGCTACAAGCCACAAAAAGTTCGTCTTAAACGAAGCAACTCCACGTTGTTTCCAAGTGAACAGCAACAACAAATAAAGACTCACTGGTTTGTTTGGTGTGTTTGAGTAAACAAAAACGCATCGACACAGTAATGGAACTTTAGTGCTGAAAAAAATTACGACAGACAGAAAAAACAGAGGGAAAGAAAAGGACTGATATTCACAGGACACTTGAACAAACCATAAAATATACTGGCAACAACACAAGCGATGAAGCGACATTTTTCTTCTTTTAAAAAAAATACCAATGACAAGTTAGTACAAGGCTCCAGCCAACTACACATTGGCCGTGTCCCGAAGAAAGGTAACAGAATGAGGTCCTGCGCTGGGGGCTACACATATCCTAAACCCACCTCAAAATACTGACCTTTAACAGCAAAGAAAACAGCTAACAAAAACACTTCAATACTCAGAAAAGGATACCACTTTAAAAGAGAAGGAACTATCCCCAATGCCCTTTACCTTCAACAAAGACACTTCAATAGAACAAAAGGAAACTGGGTAGTTAATAATATTCATGTAGTGTACAAGTGTTCCTTAATCGACGGCACATCATACAAGAGGAACGTAATCAAAGGGCTCTTACAGAAGTACTCCCATCGAGCTATCACACATATCCTGATATCTACACGTGTCTTCCGACGTCACCACAGCAATAGAAGCGCCAAGTGCCAGGGGCTACCCAACAATCTACAACAAGCAGCAGCCAACAGGCAGAAAACCACACAGTGTACAGCAGCTCGGAGCTTCCACGGCGTTTCCACAAAAAGCCAATTCCGATATTCTGGCGGGCCCACATATTTGCATCGCGGCGAGGAGGCTGGCCGGCAAATCT